TATCAAAAAGAAATTTTATGCATTCATAAATATATAGACCAGTCATAGTGAGGAATTTTCAACATATACACTTCCATTCTATCCTGGATTCGGTTGTGTTTCAGACGTGTTGAATTTTCAACCATTTCGGTCTAAGCCAATCATCATGTTGGTTCTACAATAGAAGATAGGAATAAAATTCTTTATTACTATTATATATTTATTAAAAACAAAGTCATGCTGTCAGACATTTAATTTGGATAGCCATTATCAATTATAAATTGATGAATGGTATCCATTTGATCTGCGAAATTAGTTAGAAATTTCGTGAAAGTATATGGAAATGTATTCAAATCACTTTGTTTTTCGCAGCTCCATGTATTTAAGATATTTTGAAATAATATATTGAGGTTTCTAACCATATTGTAACGCCTAAAATGTATTCAAAACATCATTAGCTTTTCTGATAGAGGTCGCTGATAAACAAATTATAAATGGTTAATTAATATCTCATGGTTTCCAACAAAATTAACCTTTTTCCTTTAGGAAAAAATAATTGTAGTGAGGAATGTCAAATATTTGGATATGTAAATTCTAACTTGATGATTAAGATTCAAAATCAAAACAAAAAGCCTGTAAATTAAAAAAAACACATCGATTCTATTAGTAGTCCTGCCTTTGCCTTTGGTATCAATTGATATGAAACCCTAACACAGAACTTAAAAAAATGAAAAATATGTAAAACACTTTTTTTATTTAAAAATTTCAGTAGATACATTCATTTGGTAAATTACATCATGCATAAATATAAATAAATTATACAGAAAGCATGGAAAAAATCACTTAGACTTTGATAATCAGAAATTATTCATATTCAACAAATTGTATAGCCATTTAGACTTCACTTTGTCTAAAACAGAGATAATCACATTCAGTACACAAACCATTCCAATCACTTCATTTGATGCTTTTGGGTGGACATCTTTTGATTTTAAACCAAGAAGTATCCTCCTGACCTTGATAAATCAGTGGCAAAAAACATAAAAATTTTTGGAAAAATTATTTCAAACAGACTTCACTCACATTGATATGGTTTTTTCTTATGTGAATTTTGGAATGAGTTATCAAACTACTCTTCTGCGAAAATGATTTTGAACAGACTTGGCATTCGAAAGGCTTTTTTCCTGTGTGAATCCTGGAGTGATTTGTAAAGATATAACTTGTTCTGAAAGATTTTGAACATATTTTGCACACATACGGTTTCTCTCCAGTGTGAATTCTGAAATGGACTGACAGATGAGTATTTGTATCAAAAGATTTTGAACAGACTTTGCACACAAACGGTTTTTCTCCTGTATGTGTTCTGAAATGAGTTGTCAAGCTACCTTTTTGTGAAAAGGATTTTGAACATATTTTACATTCATGCCTCTCTCCTCTGTGAGTTCTAGAATGAGTTATTAAACTACCCATTTGAGAATAGGATTTTAAACATATTTTGCATTCATAAGGTTTTTCCCCTGTGTGAATCCTGGAGTGATTTGTCAAGATATAATGTGTTCTGAAAGATTTTGAGCATATTTTGCACGCATACGGTTTCTCTCCTGTGTGAATTCTGAAATGCACTGACAAAAGAGTATATTTGTCAAAAGATTTCGAACAGACTTTGCACGCAAACGGTTTTTCTCCTGTATGTGTTTTGGAATGAGTTATCAAACTACCTTTTTGGGAAAAAGATTTTGAACATATTTTACATTCATGCCTCTCTCCTGTGTGAATCTTGGAATGAGTCATTAAACTACTCTGTTGAGAATAGGATTTTAAACAAATTTTGCATTCATAAGGTTTTTCTCCTGTGTGGGTTCTGGAATGAGTCATCAAACTACCCTTTTGGGAAAATGATTTTGAACATAGTTTACATTCATAAGGCTTTTCTCCTGTATGAATTCTGGAATGGGTCAATAAACCACCCCGTTGGGAAAACGATTTTAAACAAATTTTGCATTCATAAGGATTTCCTCTTGTGTGAATTCTGAAGTGTTTTGTCAAAGAAGAACTGTTATTGAAAGATTCTGAACAGACTTTGCATTCATAAAGCTTTTCATCACAGACTTTCAAAGCTGGATCATTATTACTTGTAACACCTGAAAAAAAATTGAAGTGGTGTCATTCAAGTGCATTAGATATAACTTGATTCAAAAAAAATAAAAGGGAAACTTGATGATTCGTCCACCAAAGGACGAATCATCAAGTTTTTAGTAGATTGTGCTTTTGGGCTCTGTAATATGAAGGAAGGTCTCGAGAAGGAACTAGGCATCATCAAAAAAGATCTTAAACGAAATGGTTACTCCAAAGTGATGATAGAACAGACTTTGGCAAGCAAGGAAGAGAAGCAGTCACAACCAGTGCTTGCACTTCCCTACATTAGAGGATTGTCGAAAAGAATAAGAAGAATTGGGTCCAAGTAAAGTAAACTAAGAGGCCATTGAAAGTTCGCATTGCCGAGCACAAGAAACACACACAGTGAGGAGAAACCAGCAAATTGGGAATAGCAGAGCATGTTTGGACCCATCATCATAACATCAAGTGGTCCCAAGCTGAGAACATCCACAGGGAGGAACACTGGTTTAGGAGAAAACACATGTTGTCCATCGTAGCATTCAGCCAAGCTATCTTAAGGATACGTAACATATGGAAACCCATAATAAAACGGAAAACGGTCAACTCCCGCCAAACGGCCAACTCCTGCTAAACTGGTGAAGCGGAGAGAGGAAAGAGGAGAGGTGATAGGTGAAAGCATTCGAATGACCTATAAATAGTCAGATCTCGGAGGAATGAATCCAGTCATCATCCGAAGACGATTGTGTATACTAACAATCAAAACGTCGTGAAGTAACTTGGCATGAAATGTTGTTATCAAAAAGAAATTTTATGCATTCATAAATATATAGACCAGTCATAGTGAGGAATTTTCAACATATACACTTCCATTCTATCCTGGATTCGGTTGTGTTTCAGACGTGTTGAATTTTCAACCATTTCGGTCTAAGCCAATCATCATGTTGGTTCTACAATAGAAGATAGGAATAAAATGAGAACCTGATTTTGATTTAGTCTTAGTCACAGCTGCTTGAAATATTCACTGTACCTTCATAAATTAAATAAAAAATTTAGATTATCAGAAATCCATGACACAACTATTAATTTATTAGGGATTCTACTTTTAGGGATTTGTAAAACTGCTATAGAAGCTATCAATGAAAACTTACTCTCGTAAGACTCTTTGATGGAAGCCTGTTCAACATTACTCACTTCCAACCCATTAAAATTCAAACGTGACTCTGCATCAGTAACAATTTCATTGCAATTATCATAAAAAGAATCACTTTCTTCTTCTGTTTTGACAAAGTCTATTTCACTTTTGACAAAGTCCTCAGTATGTGACAACAACTCTTTATTATCCAATGAATTTTCCTCTTTCAATGATAATTTTAAATCATTACAGTTCACTTTGGAATCTTCGAGTTCCTGGGTTGTTATATACTGGTAATCCATCATATCATTCTTTATGTCTCTAAAAGAACCTGCAATTGTACTTGAGCTATCATCCATTTCCATAATTCATCTGGAGAGGGATATCACAATGTGAACATTTTCGCCTAAATTGTTTACCTACCATTCATATAATGGATACAAACTGTTCCACTAATAGAATTTTTACAGACTTCGCATCTGATCAAGAAATCTTTCCTGGTCTCTTCTTCAACAAATTCTGTTTTGATGCCAATATTTTCAATAAAAAAATCATTCTCTCTCTTGATTGCTTTCTCACCTTTATTGATATCCATTATCAAATAAATAGATGATGAAGTTTAACATAACCAAAAAATTGTTTTCTTCTTATTTTTATTCGCGGCCTGAACCGGTGCTTATTCTTCTCAAATAATTATGGACTTGCTTCGCCACTGAATATTTGGCCAGAGCTCTAACCAACTGACAGTTACAATCCTTGATCTTCATCAACAACTGATAGCAGGGGAATTAGCTGGAACTGATGAAATCAATTTAAGATAAAACATCGTCAACATCCAACATTTTGTTCTGAAAAATGAAATAGCTTGGATTGAAAATTTATCATTGCTGCATGTACCAACACGCCTGAAGAAGCTATAGTATATCGAGACACGTGTCGCGTTTGCTGAAACACAATGAAGTGTTTCTTGAATACGTTATAGATATTCATGGTCGTGAACGGTTTTATGCCAATCCAATGGATGGTATCTTCATGAGGAATTTACTTTATCCACAGTGGAATCCTAAAGCTATATTGTGATTCAGCTCTATAGGCAATCAAGCAGGACCACAGTATAGCTAGGACCAGGCATCCTATTAAATTAGCCATCATATGGAAAAAACTTCACTTTCGAACACCTTAGGAAATTTTCATGTCACTAAATTATTATATGACTTGAAGTAAGTATTTACAGGACTCAATAAATGCAGTTTCATAACACTAACCATATTTATGAAAGATTTAGCCTTTTAAAGGAAATCAATATTTCTCGTTAACATTCATGGGTATTTTCACGTTCTACCATCTGAAAAAAATTAAAAATTGTTGTTGAAGAGCAAACTTCAGCCCAATAAGTTACTATATGAATTCAATATATTTTTTGCAATGAAAAAAATTCAATCAGTTATACCTACATAGTCATCATTGTTAATAGCAATTTTCATTACAATTATTATTCTTTGAGGGTTGCTTTTTGAAAGTGGATTATTCAGTGGTCTATTATGGAGCATATTATTGAATGCTGCTTTTTTATGCTGCTATGGATATGTCGAAGATTTATGTATGACAATGTTAGTATNGGTTTAGGTGGAGTTTTGTGAAATTACTATGGATCTTCATCGAGTAACGGCCGAATCAATCAGAAAAAAAAAATCTAGTTTTTGATTCACCTGGTATTAGAGTACTCTCCGGTTAAGTTTTCATTAAAAATGGGGACGGTGACCCTCAAGGGTCCTGCAGCAAGTGCGCAGGGCTCTCTTCGGGTCGATGGCGCCAAAAGATTCAACCTAACAGTACAAACTGAGCACTAGTTTGAGTTGGACTTGCTTTAATCATCGTGTAGGTTAGATAATGAGGGGAAATTTTGGTTACGTTTCAAAATTTTTGGTTTTTCGGAATCTCAATATGACAGATAGTGACCCCTTGGCAGCAAAGTGTTGAGCATATCATCAACAGCTTGGGTTGGGTTCAAACACTGTTAAACTCTGAACACCTGATTCGGTTCGCATTAAAACAGGCTCGAAGTATATGCTCTGCTGTTTCAACATTTTCTAAACAGAGAAAGCACGCACTGTCTGCCGACAGTCCAAAGTCTCTGCATATGGTGATTCTCAGACAACAGTTACCCTGTTGGACAACACTTGTTTTCTAAAATACTTCAAAGTATGTATAAATGCCTTAGAATCGACCAATGCTGGTAGGTTATGATACTTTCCTTCACAAGGAAATCAGCAGCTGCATTACTTGGTGTGGTTAGAAACCAAAATCTGTTGAGACTTCTTATTGAGGATAGTCTTTTTTTGGCGGTTCACTATCAACTTAGATATTGCTCGTTGAAAGCCTCTTGGCTCTACGCCAGTGTCGTAGATTTCAGCTTGAAATACGATTGCTTAGGTTTTTAGGCAGGTGGAAATCTTTGTCATGGTTTTGCGCCTTCATACACCTGTGCGAGAACCTGAGGGTGTTTTTCTTTCATCTGGGAGCCAATACCTATTTACTCTTGATATTTCCTTCATCCAGAGAATGCATTCGTCTCTACATGGAATTAGGACTGGATAACATAGTTGACCGTTGGAAGCATTAAGTCGTAGGTTATTCCCAGAATTCTCGAATATTCAGTGTTGGCCAGTAGTCTGCTATGCTCTGCATAAGTCTGTTCTCCAACCAGGAAAGTGTGAAAAGAAGGCATTATTTATGTAAAGATAAACTTGATGGCTTTCTTTCTTCCTTCGGAAGTTTCCCACATTTTTTGTTTAAAGGTGGAGAAATAGAGAGCCAAGAAGTTTATTCCAAAATCTACTTTTTTCTATTGTATTCATACGTGAACAATTGAGATTATACTTTTCTTTTTCAGATTTTGAAACTGATGAAAGAGTATATGCAGATGAAAGACCCATTCAGTGTAATTTCTGCTTCAAATCTTTCACTCATTTCAGTTACTTGAAGAACCACGAGAAATTCCATAAGAGAGAAACATCACATAGTTCTACAGTTGATTTAAGAAGAAATAAGTATAAATGTGAATTGTGTTCGAAATCTTTTTTACGCAATTCTGCCTTGAAAAAGCATTCTAGAATTCATACAGGAGAAAAGCCATATAAATGTGAATTGTGTTCAAAATCTTTTTTCCATGGTTCCAACTTGCAGAGGCATTTTAGAATTCATACAGGGGAAAAACCACATAAATGTGAATTGTGTTCAAAATCTTTTTCACGTAGTTCTAGCTTGAAAATACATTCTAGAATTCATACAGGAAAAAGAACATATATATGTGTAATATGTTCAAAATCTTTTATCTACAGTTCTGGCTTAGCGAGGCATTCCAAAATTCACACAGAAAAATCTCATAAATGTGAAATCTGTTTAAAATCTTTTTTGGGTAGTTCTGCCTTTGAGAGACATTATAGAATTCACACAGGGGAAGAACCCTTTAAATGTGAAATCTGTTCCAAATCTTTTTTAGAAAGTTTTGCCTTGAAGAAGCATTCTAGAATTCACACAGGAGAAAAACCATATAAATGTGATATTTGTTTAAAATCTTTTTATGAAAGTTTTGACCTAAAAAGGCATTCTAAANCCGAGCGGCTTCAGTTACAATTAAACCTCCGACCGAACTAGACGAATTATTTTATTTTCGACTCAGTTTGTTTAAGTAGGGTTTTTTATTGTTCATTTTAAGTGATGGAGTGGAATGACGAACAAGTTTTAGTGTTAATAGACTTATATAGAGAAAGTCGTCTTCTATGGGATAATTCAGATTCCCAACATAAATTAAAAAACCAAAGATACGACAGTCTCACAGAGTTTGGAGTGGATAAAAATGAAATTGAGCGCAAATGGAAAAATGTAACCAGCCATTTTTGGAGGGAAAAAAAGAAAGAAGCTGAAACGAAAAGAACAAGGAGTGGTGCTCCCCTACTTCTAAAAAGTACTCTTCAACGAAGTCACCAGTCTTGGTGTTGAAACTAAATAATGTAGGTAGAAATAACCCGGTCGGCTTCGTTTTCGGTGTGGACGTCGTGCCGGCCCGAACGTACCCGCCCGGCTTAGCCCACCCGGGTCAACACGCCCGGCCTACCGCGGCATAGTGTGGACCCTGCTTTATGTTCTGTTTACTTTTGTTCGAGTTCCGAGACATTCTGTGTGCAGCTAACCTATCTTCCTCTATATAAATAAATAACAAAACAACTGTTGTTTATGTGGCTTGAGGAGGTGGTATTTAACAATAAAATCATATTTTGCCTTAATTGTTGATTTATAAAGATAATTTTCCTTTTTTAAAGTAGAATATCTAGGTATAGTCGAAGTAACTGATATACTAATCTTAAAGGTGTCGGCGAAGTCAAAGGCCAAAAAAACCAATACAAAGGAATTATGCCGTAACGAATTAGTCCACGTGAACTGAAGAATTGGCGGTTCGTATTGGATAATTTTTACTAACCGAGTTTTATGATTGGCTGAAGGATCATAAAGTTGAATTTGAAGTCATGTTACGGTGACCAACAGAATGTAGCGATGAGTACCGCCGTTATTAAAGAGGAACTACTGGGAGGTAGGGGGCACTATATCTTTTACTTGAACTATACGTATAAATTATTTCAACTTGATGTAGGCGTTGTTGCCAATATGTGAATTAGAAACAAATCCCTTTAAAAATTAAAACCCATCATTGAAACATCAATTTGAATACTTTTCGAAGTGAATTTGAAAAACTCATGAATTAAACTCAACTTTAATTTGTTCAAACATGCATTTGCTGCCCAAATTGAGGAACATTCCCCATTCATCCTCTTTTGTGTTCTTTTATGAGACCAGAACGCCTTAGTACGTGTACTGTAGGTAAATTTTGCTGTATTTGGGTTACGTGTTGGATTTTCTTTAGGTTTATTGTTTCTAAGAATGTGTATTGTTTTGTGTAATATATTGAAAGTTAGATCTTGTGTTTTGATTTGTATTTGTTCCTCGAAATTATGTTATGTCAGTTTCTGCTTTATTTTGATCGTTATAGTTTATAAAGTGCAGAAAACTTTCCATCAAATACGTTGTAAGGATGTACAAAATAAAGCTGAAAAATTATTACTTGCACAAATCCGATTATAATTGGGTTAGGGAAAGTTTGTTTTTATTATTGAATTTGATATCTGACGCAAACTGAATCATTCCATTCTGGTGATTCTTGTTATTAATGACGTAACTACGAATCGTTTTTGAATACTCGAATACGCTGGAATACGATTACACGCCAGAAAACGCCTATAGTTTAGGCACAGTATTTTGTATACAGAAATACTGTGGTTTAGGTTAGCTTACTGCATATTTTTGAACTCGAGCAGGTAGATGTCTTACGTTTGTCCCAGGCGTCCCGTTATATTTGTAAAAAAAATTACTTTCGAACACTGGGAAATTTTATGTCACCAAATTATTAGATCATTTGAAGTAAGTGTTTACATAAGTCAATAAATGCAGTTTCATAACCTAACCCTATTTCCAAAAGATTTAGCCTTATCAAATGTGAATGTTCATGATATGTTTTGCAAATGTTGAACTTCTCTGAACGAAATACATTTTTTGTGGAGAAAAATCAGTGTTTTTAATTTTTGTATTTTCACGTATCACCACCCGAAAAAAGAATAAGTTGTGGTACAGAAATGTATAAAGGCATAGGAAGTGTAAACTTGAAGTTAACCTTAATAAGTCACTGCTGAAATTCAATATATTTTTGCAATGAATAATAAGTAACTTGTCATATTTGATGATTCCAACTACAAAAATACTAAGAATTTCATTGATACTTAACGATTTGGAGGCCAATATGTGCCCTCATCTACACCTGTATAATATTTTCCATCAGAATTTTAATTTTTTTTCAGATTATTGAGTTATATGTAGAATCTCACTGACTCTGATTTTTTGTCAATCAACGTTTAATAATGGATATCAACTGTGAGTTGACTGAGAGGAATAATGATAATTTTCTTCCTGAAAATGTGGATATCAAAATAGAAATAGTTAAAGAAGAGATGAGGGAAGATTCCACTATCAAATGCGAAGCCTGCAAGGAGTCTATAAGTGGAACAATCTGCATTCATAATTTGAAATGTAAGTAAGATGATTCAGTCAAAATATTCCATATTTGAGATATATATCTTGATGAATTATGAAAACTGATGATTGTTAACAGTTGCAGGTTCTAATGGGAACATAAATGAAATAATGGATGACCAAACTGTCACACTTCAGGAACTCGAAGATTCCAAAGTTAAATGCACCGATTTAAAATTCACACCAGACCAGGAAAGTTGTTTTTATAGTAAACAGTTCCCGTCAGTTAATACGGACTTTGTCAAAAGTGAAATCAATAGTGAAATAGAGCTAGGCAAATCAGAGGATGAAGACGATGTTTTTTATGAAAATTTTGGTGAAAAGATAACCAAAACAGAGGTTGGTTCAAGGTCTGAACAGGATTCCTCTGGAAAATCTCAGAAAAGTAAGTGCAGTCTCTTGGTTCTCACAGATTAAAATGTTTAGTGCGCATGGCCTTGTTCTGTTTCAACATTTTCTAATTAGAGACAGCACGCACTGTCTTCAGACAGTCCACGTCTCTGAATATTGTGATTCTTGGATGACAGTGAACTGCGAGTAAGCCTGTTGGACAACGTAGTCTAATATTGTTTTCTAACATACTTCAAAACATGTATAAATGCCTTAGAATGGACCAATGTTGGTAGGTTTTGCCGGAAGTATGATACTTCTCTTCAAAAGAAAGTCACAAGGACCTAAGGTGTTTTTCTTCCATTTGGAAACCAAAACTTATCTGCTCTTGATATTTCCTCCATCCAGAGAATCCATCCTTTTCCACTTGGAATTAGGACTGTATAACATGGCTCTTAATTGACCTTTGGATGCATTAAGATGGAGGAGACTGCTCGGATAATCAGTGTCAGCAGGTAATCTACTATGCTCCACATAAATAAGCCTGCTCTGTGCAATTGAATATGCTGTCCATCTATCTCTCCGACCAAGAAGGTGTGAAAAGAAGACATTATATATGTAAAGAGTTTTTTTAAAACTTGATTGCTTTATTTCTTGCTTCAGAAGTTTCCCACGTTTTTTGTTTAAAGATGGAGAAATAGAGAGCCAAGAAATTTTTTCCCAATCTCTACTTTTTTCTATTGCATTCATACGTGAACAATTAATATTATACTTCATTTTTTTCAGATTTTGAGACTAATGAAAGAGTACATGCAGATGAAAGACCCATTCAGTGTAATATCTGCTTCAGATCTTTCACTCACTTTAGTTACTTGAAGAACCATGAGAAATTCCATAAGAGAGAAACATCACATAGTTCTACAGTTGATTTAGAAAGTCATAAGTATGAATGTGAAATATGTTTAAAATCTTTTTCACGAAGTTCTAGCTTGAAAAAACATTCTAGAATTCATACAGGAGAAAAACCACATGAATGTGAAATTTGTTCAAAATGTTTTTCCAATAGTTCTGCATTGCTTATTCATTTGAGAATTCACACAGGGGAAAAACCATATAAGTGTGAAGTATGTTCAAAGTCATTTTCCAAAAGTTTTACTTTAGTTGTGCATTCCAGAAGTCATACAGGATCTTTTTCCAGTAGTTTTGGCCTAACGAAGCATTCCAACAGTCATACGGGAGAAAAACCTCATAAATGTGAAATTTGTTCAAAATCTTTTTCGCATAGTTCTGACTTGCAGAAACATTCTATAATTCACTCAGGACAAAAAACACATGAATGTTTAATCTGTTCAAAATCTTTTTTCTATACTTCTGGCCTAGCGAGGCATTTCAAAATTCACACAGGAGAAAAACCTCATAAATGTGAAATCTGTTCAAAATCTTTTTCGAGTAGTTCTGCCTTGGAGAGACATTCTAGAATCCACACAGGGGAGAAACCATTTAAATGTGAAGTTTGTTTGAAATCTTTTCACGCTAGATTTGACCTAAAGAGACATTCCAGAATTCACTTACAAGCAAAGTCTTGAATGTGAAATCTGTTCAAAAATTTTTTTCAATACTTATGATGCACTGTTTGGAACCTTTGGTGTAGTAATGAATATTACTGTAATATTATTTTTTTGATGGTTTTAAGTTACAGAAGCATTCTAGAACTCACACAGGGGAAGAAATATGGAAAATTTAACCTCTTCAAAATCATTTTTCAATAGTTATTGCCCAGCAAGGTATTCAAAATTTTAATTAGGTGGTTTATAAAACTGCGTGTTCTCCTATACATTGTCTTCTTAGGGCATGTGAAATTGAGATAGTTGCTGCCTTCGTGTGATTTTGCAACAAACTGTTCCTACAGTGGGTATTTTTTTACAGAAAAAATAGCAGAATACACCTGCAAACCAAATATTAACTGTTGCAGACTCCTATTCATTCATAATAAATTACTAAATATACTATGTATTTTTATTTTGAAGATGATAAGCCTTATATTCAAAAGAAGAGAGCTCTACAGATCTGGGAACACCTACTTTCACAAAACTACGAATACCTCTACACACTACAACAACGTTGGCCAAACATTGTATATATTTTTTATGGTTGTCCTTCGCGGATGATATAATAATACCTGCTAAAGTGTTGTCCCGTGTGTAAATCCGTTCTTTTTCGATATAATTACTACGTTTCGGCAACATCGCACTTATTCATGTGCTCTGCTTGGTAGTTGAATTCGAAATTGTTTCATATATCTGTTTCCAAATACTTTGATTTACTACCCCCAATGAAGGTGTTGAAATTGCTCATAATCAAACATAGAACTTTAATTTCTACTTTACAACTGGATAAATATATTACCTCCCTCACTTCTGAATTTCAACTATTCTGTTGTTATTATTATTGTTGATCAGGAGAAAGAAACTCGTTTTTTTTCATCATCAATAAGACTTAGAAGACTCAATTGCATGATAATCAGTTACGGTTATAGTCAGCTTTTACTATACCACAGCAACTATACGTTCATCGAATAAACTCGAGTGGCGCTAGCGTTTGGGGGAAGTTTTTCGAATTTGAAATCAAGTCGAATGTAAAAGTAATCTGTTTTCGAATTTGAACACTTGGAAGAAAAGGAGTTTAGAGGAATTTAATTCACTGTTCCCCATTACTTCACACTGTCGAAAAGTTCATGGTTCTCTCTCTCTCTCTCTCTAATTATATGGACGTTGCTTCCCACTCGGGCGCATTTGTCCAGGCTCCTTCTATCAAATTGACAGAAACTTCGTCGGGAGTGGCGCAGCTGTCTTGCTCGAAGCAATGCTGCCACCCCTTTTTTGTCACACTTTTTACAATAAAAAAAAACAATGTGTTTTTTAAATGTCACCTTCTAATCAGGAGACATTTTGATTTACTACGTATATATTTATTGGGTCGCCTCCTTCTCGGGAGACCTTCTGATTTTTGAATTCACATATATGACCCCTGTACGTGGTTATCCAAACCACCCCGGCCTGGATACCGGCGTGAATGGGAGCACTATTTAATTAAAACCACTAAAACAATGTTTACTATAACTTTTGTAACTTTTGCTTGCACGTTATATAACGGCGCACATACACAACACGAACTGAGTTCCACCTCCAACAATGGCGTCCGCGTACCTTCTTTGTGAGCGGTCGCTATCGGCACGTCCACCCACCACCATGTCAGAAACGAAACTCAAAGTTCATGGTTATATTCACAAAACAGCCACATATATTTCGTGTTGTGGTGTACCATGTGAATCTGTATCCCATAGAAACTGACGTCTCTTTCTCTCTAAAATGTACATTGTTTTCCATTCGGGCGCATTTGTCCAGGCTCCTGTCAAATTGACGTCAATTTGACAGAAGCTTCATCGGTGGGGCGCAGCGCAACGATGTATGTCTATAATCCTTTGTACGGTCAGAACGTCTCAACTCAGGTACTGAGTACCTGATGCAGTACAAATACTGCATCAGGTAGTCAGGTAGCTAAAGTACCTAATCATTTTCCTTTTTATTGATTTGATGGCTTTCGTGATTGCTGGTTTCTCCGGAGTCTCTTCTGGTTTTATGATTATTTGTTTCAGCGTGTTGATCGCTTCTGATCTGATTCCGTCTACTTTTGGTGCTTCTACTTGGTTTGAAGCCATCTCTGTGTCAACAATTAGGTTCTCAATGGTTTGTGGCGTGATTTTCTGCTATGGACTGAATTTTGACCTAGTTCAAATGTTTGTATTTCTATATCGTTGAAGTGTATGTTTGTTAGGTTGATGACTCTCGGATGGAATGTGTGGTATTTTCTCATCGTTGTTGTGTCCTTATCGTGTTTCTGTATTAATGTGTCCAGTTTTTTGTTTAGTTTTTGGTATGTGTTCTCTTTGTGTTGGTGGTTTTTCCTAGATATATCTGCGTATTTTTCATTTCACTTTTCAGTCGTTAGTAATTTTGATAAGTGTAGATGTGTTTCGTATAATTTTTTGGTGAGGATATTCTTCTTCTTGTATGCTTCTTGTATTTCGTTTTGGATCCATGTAGTTTGGGCTTTTTCTATTGCTTTCTTTGCGCAAGAACAATAAACCTAGAGAAGATCCAAGATCCTTTTTGTAACTTACATTAATAGTAAAATACTGGAAATAAAGGAAAATTAGTTGCATCATCCAAAATATATATTTTTTTAATGATGCAACTAATTTTCCTTTATTTTCAGTATTTTAATATTAAATGTAAGTTACAAAAAGGATTTGAAGCTTTATAACTTCTATTTAATTATCTGCGAGCGCTTTCGACAGCTGGTCGTACCTCTGTGGTCGTACTGTCGTCATCTGGGCTCTAGATGATGACAGTACTTATAGTGTAGTGTGTATTATTACAGTCTTGCTGTATTACAGGACAGTACTTCTGTACTCTGTCGTTCTGTACTCCCACGAGTAGATATAGCTTACTGCGCCTGAACGGAAGCAAAAGCTAATATTAGAGAGAGAAAGCGGGAAAAACTTGACGCTTCTACAAGCCTTTACAAAAGATGATGAAAAATCTATTGAATTATTAATCAATTCAGAATTCATTCTTAGTATTTCAACGTTCAATAATGGATCTTAATCAGGGTGAGTAGTTGTTGCAGGGGAAAGATGAGTTTCTCCATGAAAATATTGATATCAAAACAGAAACACTATAAGAGACAGAGGAAGATTCTGTGATCAAATATGAATCTTGTGAGGAGTCTATAAATGGAACAACCTGCATTCATGATAAGAAATGTGAGTATAACTATTCAGAAAAAGTATTCCAAATTTTGAGATGACTCTCAAGAGAAATGCTCGTAATCCATCTTGAATTTAGTCAGGTTGGAGCCTGGCTCCCTTACCCTTTGAACTGATGTTTGCCAGAAGGAAAAACGGGTCATAACTGATGTGGGTGTTAATGGTATGGTGGCATGAATGTTCTCAGACATCAGTACCGCCCTTCACGGTGTACCCCTGCCTGGCTGGGGTGAATTGGATGAAAACGTTGTTCATCATTCATCGGAGGATATAGGGGCCTCATTCGACAGAGTGTCGGGGCCTTCTATATCAGGAGGGGTCGTCTACAGTATAATCCATAGCTTCCCTGACTAATGGGTTTTCATGAGTTTCTGCACCATCAAAAACTCTCTGATTTCTCGACTGGATGAACTGCCGAATGGAAGGCAGCTGCAAATCTCTGCAGATGGCTTCATTCGGCACGAACCAAGGAGCATTCACAATCATCCTTATTAGCTTGTTTTGTAACCTTTCTAGAATGGAAATGTTGGACGGAGCCATCAAGAGAAATGAGAATGGATGATGGCTTATAAATAGTTGCAGGTTCTGATGGGGACGTTAACTCCAAAATAATGCATAATCAGTTCATTACACTCCAGGAACTGGAATATTTGAATGTCATGTGTAGAGATTCAGAATTCAGAGAATTCAAACTAAACAAGAAAATTTCCCTTGATAGTAAACAGTTATTGTTAATTGATAGGGACCTTGTCAAGAGTGAAACAGAGCAAGGTAAGTCAGAGGATGAGGATTTTTTTGACAAAAATTTTTGTGAAAAGATGACTAATACAAAGGTTGGTTTGAGGTCTATTATATTATATTTGGATAATGTTGTGCAGGGTAAACTTCTTAAAATCCATGTGCCCTTTATTAATCTGTAAAGACTACTTTAAATTCCATTTTTCAACTGCTATATATGGCAATTTGAATACATTTCAGTATGTGGAACATTTGACGAGTCCTCCACAATCTGAGGTTAAAATTTATAACATGCTTTTTTTGTGAAAGCCATAACACTTTGTGTTCGTGACACTTTGAAACCAGGTTTGTCTAACTCAAATTGCTTTTGTATGATATTGACTTCAAAAGGATTAGCAAACAGAAAAATCTTGATTGCAGCACGTAAACTAAAAAATAAGTCCACTTCCAGTCTTGATAAGATATCATCCTTATCAATAATGATTGCTTCAGTTTCTTGGTATATCCTTTACTTGAACTTTTCAATGTTGTAGTTTAAAATTATACTTTTCTGATATTCGGAACTATCCTACTGTTTCAATTCTATCATACTTTGCTAAACTTTTCGAAATTGTCATTTATGATCGCATACTTTGCTCAGTTTGTAATATATCACCGCAACAATATGGGTTTATGTCTAACATCCATCATAACAAAATTAATTGTATTGATTCAAATGTTAGCAATATTTTAGATATTTGTGGACAAATTGATGTGATATACACAAATTTTGCTAAAGCAAGATTCTTTTACAAAAACTCCCAACAATTTGATATATCTGCTTACTCTCTATGTAGTTTATGTGAGATCAAAATTAGAATATGGCTCGATTCTACAATTGCTGTACTGCATTAATTGAAAATTTCAACGTCCTTTCATATTAATTAATTACCACAATATTTAATATAGAAAGTCTTGAATTGCTCAGAAAACTTGCTGAAGTAGTTTTTCTATATAAATAACTGCACAGCAATGTGGATGCTGTGGATGTTTTACATCTACTAAACTTCTGTGTACCTAATCTTGGAACCAGAAGTAAGAAAACTGCCAAGTGGCAATACTGAATACTCCAATACTGAATACTCCACATAGACTTTACAAATATCTGTTTTGTTTGTTTTCATTCATGCATAAACAATTAAGATTGTTAATTTCTTTTTCAGATTTTGGGACTAATGAAAGACTACATACAGAAGAAAAACCCATTCAGTGTAACGTCTGCTCCAAATCATTCACTCGCTTTAGTCACTTGAAGAACCACGAGAGATCCCATGAGAAAGAGACATCACATAGTTCTACAAATGATTTAGATAGAATTAGTTACAAATCTGAAATATGTTCGAAAACATTTTCTGATAGTTCTGATTTGAAAGTGCATTCCATAATTCATACAGATCAAAACCCCTACAAGAGCGAAATCTGTCCGAAATCGTTTTCTGATAGGTCTTCACTGGATGCTCATTTGGAGGGCTTGAAGGAGCCAATGCCAGAGCTTGCGCTGTCTCGGCAACCATTTTTGGAATTATCGGATGTGGAGGAATCATCCTTGAATACGGCAGTGATGACACATACACCTGCGATACTATCCCAGGTTAGCACCGATGATTCGTTTGAGCATCTGAAAAAACGAAAACTGAGAAACAAAGAGGTAGAAAAACTGAAAGAGAAGGTGAAGAGGTCCAGAAGGCTGAAGCCATTATCCAGGAGGTTGAAGCCATTATCCAGGAGGTCGAAGCCATTATCCAAGAGGAAGGAGGGAAAGCAGAGTGTATTTCACAAAAGATGCGTTAAAAACAGAGCCATTATAGCCTGGCCAAAGGCAGCAATTCCTCTGGTAGAAGTAATTGCCAGACCATCCTCCGCTGAAGCACCCGTCCACCTAGTGCAAGAGAATGTAGATGAACATCGAGAAGATGGAACCGCTACCCCACCACCAGCGCAGGACAGAACACCAATCCCAACAGACATTTCCCAGGCTTACGTTATTCCATCACCTACTCGAGATGCCACTGTGGAAGTTCCTCTTTCGGAGACTGAATCTGAGGACGGGGATATTATACAATGTACATCCTACATTCACTATCTGAGAGAGGAATTGAGAATGAAGCTACAGCTCCAAAGCGAGTGCGCTTCCCGCCGGAGTGCCTGGATTGCAGAAATTGCAGACATTCAGGCTCAGAAGCGAGAATTAGATGAGCGACTCTCTCGTATTGAAGCGAATCTTCAGGAGGAAGGTAAGCTCGAAATAGAGATAGAGGCTTACCTTGAAAAGCGCAAGTGTTGGGTGCGGCGATGGATTGACATGTTTAGCGACATCCTAATCGATGTGTAAATAGTATATAATGCATTATAATAGACAAAAAGGATATTTTGACCATTTTTAAATTATACAGCAGAAAACTTCAACTCAAAATGAGGAAAAATCTAATATAGTTTACAAAATTCATTGCATGAAGTGTAACAAATCATATATTGGACAAACATCAAGAACTCTAAAAAGTCGCATAGTTTCTCATAAAAGGGATTGCAGGAGGAACATAAACAGGTGTGCTTTATCAGAACATGTTATTGATAATGACCATAAAATGGATTACAACAATTCCACTGTCCTTTATACAAAATCACACTTATTAAAAATAGTTTTTCCGGAAATGGTAACCATTAATAATGATGATAGATCCATGAATAAAAGGGCTGATTTGAACAATCTCAGTCAAATCTATACTTACATTATCAAATGTCAAAAAGAAAAAATCACTTCTAATCAAAATTTTCCTCCTTAAAATTATTGTCACCGTCAGTCACTTCCATCAAAACAAGAAATTTTTTATGTTTTGTAGAAGTACTTATTTTCTTTCGCAACCTCACGTTAGTAAGTAGTTTTGTTTGTGAAATAAAGAAACATATTGTTAATGAATATATTACAGTTGTCCTGAGGAAGGTGGTAAGCACTACCGAAAGCTTGACAAAAACAAAGAGTTTTCTTTGAATAGCCCTCAAAACCTGACTGTAATCCTAAAATACTGTTCTTCATATAATGCGTTTTCAATTGAAAAACTTTCAATTGAGGTTGGTTTTGAAACGGAATTTGACGTTGCGTTAAGTCAGTTTCTGCTTTATTTTGATAGTAATAATTATAAAGTGCTGAAAACTTTTCATCAAATACGTTGTAAGGATGTACAAAATAAAGCTGGATAATTATTACTTGCCCAAATCTAATTATATTTGACGTTAGAGAAAATTGAAGTTTGTTTTGACGACTGATACAAATTGAATCATTCCATTCTGGCGAACGTTATTGTTAACACAGACCACATACCCATGTGATTGTTAATGACATAATTACGAATCGTTTTCGATTACACCGCCAGAAAACACCTTAGATCAGAACTACAGAATGATTAGTTAGGTGTGTTCAGAGTTTTTTTGACTACGGAATAGTAAACAATTGTTCACTATTCTGTGTCCTGACTGTTCTGTGGTGTTGTGATGTTATTCTTATATTCCGAAACACGGAACTCGAAATTATATTTTATGATTTATGGGATCTGTAGCAGCTTTCGTGAAAACAATAAATTTATTTCGGAACCTGATGACCCAGAGGTTTGATTCTCGAGTCATGAAAATCTTTCTCAACTGAGAAGTGACGTTGAAATGACATAATTTCCATAACTTAAGAGCAGGGTTCTAGGTCGCCTCTTTGGAATAAAAGGCAGCGTGTAGAGGGTGTTGTAAAGTATAGTATCCGCGTGAAAGTTTTTTTTTTTGGGAGTTCCGTTTCCGATGTGGTGGTGGACGGACGTGCCGATAGCGACCGTCCACAAAAAAGGTACGCGGACGCCATTTTTTGGAGACGGAATTCAGTTTGTGTTGTGATGTCCGCCGTTTTATAACGAGCCAGCAATCGTGAAAATAATAGTGTTAATAAAAATTGTTTGTGTAAAATATTTATAATACTTGCTCCCATTCACGCCGGGTGGACCGGATGTCCACGTGGGAGTGGGATCGCAACAATCCTATTTTATGAAGAAGACAATAGTTTCATTTCCAAGAACAGTAGACCCCATTTCGGACACAGACTTGCAAACTGCAAGACAGTCTTTGTCCCCCGACGAAGCTTTTGTTATATAACAGCCAGTTACGTAACAGAAGAACATTGGTCAAATGCGCCTGAAGATAGGAAGCAACGACCATCCAAAATAGAGAGAGAGAGACTCTTTTTTTGACAGTACTCCATAACCTTATAATTCTGTGACCTAGTTGACTATTCATTAAATAAAAATCAAACTTGCCACTCTTACAAGCCCGTATTAATGATGTAAAATCTAATAAATTATTATTTAATTTAGAAATTAATCCTTAGTATTTCAACGTTCAATAATGGATCATAATCAGGGTGAGAAGTTTTTGGAGGGGAAAGATGAGTTTCTCGATGAAAATAGTATCAAAATAGAAACAATAAAAGAAGAGATGAAGGAAGATTTCGTGGTAAAATGTGAATATTGTAAGGAGTCTATAAGTGGAACAATCTGCATTCATAATATGAAATGTACGTATAATTATTCAGAAAAAGTATTTCATATTTTGAGATGTCTCTCAAGAGGAATTATAAGAATGGATGATGGCTTACGAAAAGTTGCAGGTTCTGATGGGGACGTAAACTCTGAAATAACGGATAATCAGTTTATTACAGCCCAAGAACTGGAAGATTCGAAAGTCAACTGTAGTGATTTAAAATTCAAACTAAACCAGGAAAGTTTCCTTGATAATAAACAGTTTTTGTCAGTTAACAGGGACTTTGTCGAGGGTGAAACAGAGCAAGGTAAATCAGAGGATGAGAATGTTTTTTATACAAATTTCAGTGAAAAGACGATCAAGACGTAACAGTAGTTGAACACAACACAGCTAGTTTCGTCAGTTATCCAAACCCTTAGTAGAACCCACTAGATCACCTTACTGATGCCTTTAGATGTTTTCGAGGAGATACGTGTCTAAGGAAGTGTGTTATACACAACCTCGGTTCATTTTAGAGAAAGGGACGCTTGCAATGAAATTAACCCAGGAACATTTCATGATGTAGAAAAAAGAATCATTATCAAATTAATGGATTCTCATCATGAAATATGAGAAATAAAACTTCCTATGTTTTTACACCGCTTGTGTTTGTTACTAACAATAATGCAGTTTCGTCCTATCAGGACATTTTCAAACGAATACAATAAATGGCCTTTTAGGATGAAACTTCAATAACGTTAGCTACAAATACCGTTGGTATAAAAATGTAGGAACTTTTTCAGTGTCACAAATAGTGAATGTATAAAGATGCCTGGTTGAACTCTTTTGAATCATCACATAATAAAAGTTTTATCAGTCCAATTCTCAAGTTTGGAGATTCATCTGATATTTGCAATTAAAGTTCTTGAAATTGTCATCTATAATCACGTACATTGTTCAGTTTGTAATATCATATCACCATAACACAGGGTTTATGTCTCGAAATGCTAGCGATATCTTAGATATTTGTGTTCAAGTTATATGATATACACGAATATTTCTAAAGCAAGATTCTTCTATAAAAACTCCAACAAATTGGTTCTATAAGTCAGCAATTTCAACGTGAACAATTTGTATTGATGGCTATGATTTTTTTTATTAGAATCCTTCATCTATAAGACCTCAGGAATCGAATCTAGGACCACTTCTATGTTGAGTACATTCATCCAAATATAAAGTAGTGTCTTATACTATGGAAATGTCATTCATTGAATTCAATCTTAGATATCTTTATTGAAATGAATAAACACTTTTGTCTTATTTCCACTAGTTATTTTATTTTTATGACCAGTTTCAGGTTTCACCCACTATCAAGTATAAAAGTTTTATACTTCAACTACACCACTTATTACTGATTACTGAAGACCCTACATAGACTTTACAAATATCTGTTTTGTTTCTTTTCCATTCATGCATGAACAATTAAGATTATACATTTCTTTTTCAGATTTTGGGACTGAAGAAAGACTACATACAGAAGAAAAACCCATTCAGTGTAACTTTTGCTCCAGATCATTCACTCACTTTAGGTTCTTGAAGAACCACGAAAGAAATCATAAGACAGAAGCATCACATAATTCTACAATTGATTTAGAAAAGAAAAGTTATGAATGTGAAACCTGTTTAAAAACATTTTCTGATAGTTCTGCTTTGGAAGTGCACTCCATAATTCACACAGATCAGAAATCCTATAAGTGCGAAATCTGTTCGAAATTGTTTTGTGATAGGTCTGCCTTGGATGTTCATTTGAGGATTCACTCGAGGAAAAAAACTAATAGATGTGAAATATGTTTTAAAACATTTTGCGATAGTTATAGCCTAGCAAGGCACTTCAAAATTCACACAGGAGAAAAACCTCATAAATGTGAAGTTTGTCCAAAACTTTTTTCTGATGTTTCCAACTTACAGAGGCATTTGAAAATTCACGCAAGAGATCCATCATATCCATCATACAAATGCAAAATTTGTTCAAAAGTGTTTCTTGACGGTTCCGACTTGCAGAGGCATTTAAAAATTCATGCAAGAGATACATCATACAAATGCGAAATCTGTTCAAAAGTGTTTCTTGATGTTTCCGACTTGAACACGCATTTAAAAATTCATGCCAAAGATACATCATATAAATGCAAAATCTGTTCAGAATCATTTTCTGATAGTTATGGCTTAGCAAGGCATTTCAAAACTCACACAGTGGAAAAATTTCGTGAATGTGAAATCTGTTCAAAACTTTTTTCTGATGTTTCCAACTTCAAGAGGCATTTGAGAATTCACGCAGGAGATAAACGATACAAATGCAAAATCTGTTCAAAATCTTTTTCCGATAGATCTTCCTTCATTGTGCATTCAAGAACTCACACAGGTGAAAAACCATTTGAATGTAAAGTCTGTTCACAATCCTTTTCCCGTAAAGATGTTTTGACAAGGCACTCCAAAATTCACACAAGATTAAAATCATAGAAATTGGAATATAATTGAAATCTTCATGAGATAAGTTACATATACCTTGATAGGTAGAATTGGACTTGTACGGATAGAGTGAAAATAATACTTCACAATATACACAACACCAACATTTAACAGCTGGTACGACAGATAGCGAAGTATAAACTGGATCAGAAAATGACACTCCAGTAGAACATAATTGGACTTTGTTGAATTTCACTTTCATTTATTTACATTGTGGATGTAAGAACAATTTTATTGAAAATTAATGAAATGTTGAAATTTTTTTAAAATAATTTCAATGATTTTAACATTTTATTCATTTTTATTATATTTATTCTTTCAGAGATTTCGAATCTTTAAACACCATTTTAGACCTGTAACATTGTCAACCACTTAAAAACAATTATTGTGAATTTGTTGTCATTGTACGTATCATTATTTTTTACTTTGGTATTTAATAAATGATTTGTGAATTTTGGTTGAACTTTTGTTTGTGTATTTTAATACCTTACTCAAATTTGTGTAACTATGGCAAATAAAGAGTCGGATGTGACCAAAGCTGCAATACTCGGCGATTCAAAAAGCGCTTTGTCTAGCAAGTTTTTTATTACGACCGGTTACGGTTTGTTAAACTATTAATCCAGTAAATTGATACAGTTTGTCACAAGCCTTTAAATATACAATAATACAGTTAGGTACCTGAAATAACAAATGTTACCTGAATTATCAATACCAATACTAGAACAATCGCTATTTAACTTACGAAATTACTGGAGTTATTACTACACCAGAGGTTCCAAACGGTGCATCATAAGTACTATTTAACTTGTATAATCTAACAAGATTGCCAACTATTGATCTCCAAAAACCTACTTGTGGATTTTTCCTGCTATCAATTAATTGTAAAAATTCAAAGAGGAGAGTTGCATAATTGTAGTTGATCATTGATGGTTTTGAAATTGTGGTTTTTATACAATTTATTTGGAATCGAATTGAATAAATTTTATAAAAACCTTTCAAAACCATCGATGATCAACTGGAACTATACAACTCTCCCCTTTTGAATTTGTGAATTTTGTCAGTTAGTCTAGGATCCATTGATAGCTGGAGATCAATAGTTGGTAATCTTGATAGATTATACAAGTTAGTTATTGTTCTAACTTTGTATATAGACTAACCATATAATGGTTCTAGTATTGGTATTGATAATTCAGGTAACATTTTTTGTTATTTCAAGTTTATGGGACTAACTACTTTTCGGCTATGCCTAAACCTCTAAGAAAATCCTTGGTTCATGAGTATCTTAACAGAGCAATTAGTAATCATTGTGTGACCAATACATTGGTCAAAACTCTATTAATTAAAGACCATGGTGGCTGATATTGTATGACTCAATAAAGACAAAATTCTTACTTTTCATACCACCATCTGCACCTCAACGGGTCGCTTTCAACCAATTTCATTTAATTATTCCATTTTCCATTGTTTACGTCCCCAAAATACTAATGCCATAACCCCGTTCATGTCATCTTCTTCGGTAAAGCTTCAATTGAATGTGTCTTAAACTTAACTACATGATCTATGCTTCAATGTGTAGTTTTCAAGTACTGAGTGACTAGTGGTTAGTTTTCCGAATTGATAATAATATAATAGACTGGAATTCTGTTTTTTCCCAAGTTAGAAAGTAGTTTTTTCCAAAACTTCACTAAAACCTCTTTTGACTCCTGTACAAACAGTGAACCTTTTGGCCGGACACCCAAATAGGCCATACATGAAGAAGATAAAAAAGAAGACGAAAGACTAGCTTCAAAGCATAGAAAGTTTTACTTGTTGTTTTGGTTTAGTTTAGCTCAAGCATAGATAAAATATATGTTATCTCTACGAGCTTAAGCTTACTGTTTGGCAATAAAAGCTGATAATAATTTCAATTTTCATTTTTGACTTCTCAAAAAATTGGTAGGTAAAATCGAAAAAAAACGAAGATTTTACAGGTTATAATAACACTATTCTTGGGATCAATAAATGTTGATAAAGATTTATGATGGAATTGGCTGATACTTAATGAGGAAAAATGACCATTTATTCAAAAATCTACTACCATTTTCCTGTATTCTTTTGGCAAAAATTCTCGCCGTTTGACCAATCTAAAGTTTGGATTGAAAACCACATTTCCCATAAATACTCCTGATCTATCTGACATTGAAATTTTGATTTCATTGTCTTTGATGAATTTCCTCAAATTATCCATTCTATAAGCTATGCCCAAATCTTTTTTTTTAATAAGCAATTTCTTGGGTTTATCAAATAGGTGAAGTGAAAGATAGACATGAAATAGAACCTTCAGCATATATAATAAATCTGAAAGAACTTTCTCAACAAGTGTTTCACCATCCAAGTTGACATCATCAGGAGATGAGGTCTGGTGTTTGAAAGTTGTGCTTACGATCATTGATGGGTTGTTTTTGCTGTTTTCTCAGAAGAATTGAGCATACATAGTAATTATTGTTGATATCATATCATTGAACGCTGCTAATAATTTATGCTGATATGGATGTGTTGAAAATTTATGTACGACAATGTCCGTGTAAGATGGTTTGTGGAAAATTGCGAAATCACCTGTGTTATTAATTTTAGGATAAGTCAAAACGAGAACCTTATAGAGAAACTCACTGACCCTGATTTTTTTCAATCAACGTTCAATAATGGATATTAATCGTGAGTTGACTGAGAGGAATGATAATTTCGGTCACGAAAATATTGATATCAAAATAGAAATAGTGAAAGAAGAGATGAGGGAAGACTCCATTATCAAATGTGAAGCCTGTAAGGAGTTTATAAGTGGAACGATCTGCGTTCATAACATGAATTGTAAGTAAAATGATTCAGTCAAAAGAATCCTTTTTTGAGATGCATGTCTACACTAATTATTAGAATGGATTTTTGCTTAAGAACAGTTGCAGGTTCTAATGAGGACATAAATGAAATATTGGATGACCAGACTATCACAGCTCAGGAACTTGAAGATTCCAAAATCAAGTTTAGTGATTTAAAATTCACCCCAGACCAGGAAAGTTGTCTTGATAGTAAACAGTTCTCGTCAGTTGATACGGACTTTGTCAAAAGTGAAATCAAGAGGGAAATAGAGCCAGGCAACTCAGAGGATGAAGACGATGTTTCTTATGAAAATTTCAGTGAAAAGATGACCAAAACAGAGGTTGGTTCAAGGTCTGAACAGGATTCCTCTGGACAATCTCAGAAAAGTAAGTGCAGTATCTCAGTTCTCACTAATTGACAAGTTCAGTATGCATGGTCTGAATGTGAGCTGCACTTGTTCTGCAGCAAGAGCACTTGGCTCTTTTCGGCACTGAGCACTGGTTTAAGTTGGACTTACTTTAATTTAGGTTAGGTACGAAACAAGAATTGTTTTTCATTGATTGATTTCTAAAGTTGATTACCTGTCAATGTCAAACTCTGAAAACCTGATTTGTTTCGCTTTAAAAAAAGGCTCAAAGTATGTGCTTTGCTGTTTCACGGTTTTCTAAACAGAGACAGCAAGCATTGTCTTCCGACAGTCAAAGTATCTGCATATGGTGATTCACAGAAGAGAGTGAACTACAAGTAAGCCAGTTGGACAATGTTGTCTAATACTTGTTTAGTAACTCTGCTTCGAAGAGTGTATAAATATTTTGGATTTGATCATTGCTGCAGCTCCGTTACTGTGGCCAGAAACCAGAACAAGTTGAGACTATTTATTGAGGAGAGTCTTTTTTGACAGTTCTTTACAAACTTAGATGTTGCTCTTTGAGATCCGCTTGGCTGTTCGAAAATATCTTGATTGACTTTTATATGAGGTTGGTTTCTGCCAATCTCACAACACACAAATCAATAGCGTATATTTCAGCTTGAAATACAGTCGCATAGGTTCCTAGGCAGGTTGATATCTCTGTAATGTACGTAAAGAGTTTATTTTGAATTTAATTGCTATCTTTCTTCCTTTGGATGTTTTCCACATTTTATGTTTAAATATGGAGAAATAGAAAGTCAAGAAGATTTTTACCAATCATTTTTACCTATTCATACGTAAACAATTAAGATTATACTTTTTTTTTCAGATTTTGAGACTGATGAAAGATTATATACAGATGAAAGACCCATTCAGTGTAATTTCTGCTTCAAATCTTTCACTCATTTTAGTTACTTGAAGAACCACGAGAGACTCCATATGACAGAAACATCACATAGTTCTACAGTTGATTCAGGAAGAAAGAAGTATGAATGTGAATTGTGTTCAAAATCTTTTTTACGCAATTCTGCCTTGAAAAGGCATTCTAGAATTCATACAGGTGAAAAATCATACAAATGTGAAATCTGTTCAAAATCTTTCTTAGAAAGTTCTACCTTGAAGAAGCATTCTAGAATTCATACAGGAGAAAAACCATATGAATGTGATATTTGTTCAAAATCTTTTTTTGAAAGTTTTGACCTAAAAATGCATTCTAGAATTCACACAGGAGAAAAGTCGTATAAATGTGAAATATGTTTAAAATCATTTCTTAATAGCTCCAAGCTACGAAATCATTCTAAAATTCACACAGGGGAAAAAACATATAAATGTATGATCTGTTTAAAATCTTTTTCTCATAGATTTGCCCTAGCGAGGCATTCCAATATTCATACAGGAGAAAAACTTCATAAATGTGAGATTTGTTCAAAATCTTTTTATGATGCTTCCAACTTGCAGAGGCATTTGAAAATTCACACAGGGGATAAACCATATAAATGTGAAATCTGTTCAAAATCTTTTCCCAATAGTTCTGACTTGCAAAAGCATTCTATAACTCATTCAGAAAAAACATATAAGTGCAAAATTTGTTCAAAATCATTTTTCTATAGTTACGGTCTGGCAAGGCATTCCAAAATCCACACGGGGGAAAAACCATATAAATGTGAAATCTGTTCAAAATCTTTTTCTAATAAATCTGACTTTCGAACGCATTCTGTAATTCGCGGACAAAAAAAATATAAATGTTCAATCTGTTCAAAATCCTTTTTCTATAGTTCTTGCCTACAGAGGCATTTAAAAATTCACTCGAAGGATAAACCATATAAATGTGAAATCTGTTCAAAATCGTTTCCCAATAGTTCTGACTTGCAAAAGCATTCTATAACTCATTCAGAAAAAACATATAAGTGCAAAATTTGTTCAAAATCATTTTTCTATAGTTACGGTCTGGCAAGGCATTCCAAAATCCACACGGGGGAAAAACCATATAAATGTGAAATCTGTTCAAAATCTTTTTCCTGTAATTCTCACCTGAAGACTCATTCTAGAATTCACACAGGAGAAAAACCATATAAATGTGAAACTTGTTTTAAATCTTTTTCCTGTAATTCCAACTTGAAGATGCATTCTAGAGTCCACTCGGGGGAGAAACAATAAATGTTTAATTCATTCAAAATATCTGTTTGAGCTCCTGGAAAATAAGTCCATTAAATTTAATAAAGAAATTAGTTTCATGGAACCATTTTCCAGCAGCTTGTCTGCTCTTTATGGATATTCACGTCGAGAAGAGAATGACGTCACAAGATGACGAGTTACAGCGTTGCCATCATGTGCACTATTTCGAACTTCAAATATGTTTGTACTGTTGATTTGTTTTATTGCTATTAACCTTACTATTAATTTACTTAGTTGAAATACAACTTTATTGAGACTGTTTCGATAATGCTTTAAGCATATTGAATATACGCAGGTCTTATCAAAAAAAGTGATTAGTTTTGAGAAGAAAAGAAAGACTGACAGTTTTCGAGTTTACAATCACTTGGGCAACTTACAAAATGAAATTTTACTAGTTTCATTGCTATTGAACGCATTTCATTGTGAATTTCGAAGTTGTTATGTTGGATATACAAAATTACCAAAAATGACGTCATTCTCTTCTTAACGTGAATATCCTATATTAACTGTCCTGCACTGCTAGCACAAATTGGCTTACATGTTCCTTCTAGAAGTACAAGGCATACAGAAACATTTGCTATAGATTTTCATCGTTGTAACTATGGCAAATACTCGCCATTGTCTAGAGTTACTATTGGTTACTATTGTTATTAAACAAAACAAAATTTAGGTTTGTCACTCTAATTTTTTATCTATGAGTTAGTTTTACTTTAAGCAAGTAAGTTAGATGTTCATCCAGCACCAGGTCCATGCTGAAAATATTCAACTAGATCACCTGCAGACCGCGGTTTCGAGGTATTACCTCTCGTCAGTAAAGGAAAGATCCTACCCAGACAGACACCACTTGGTTGGGAGAGATTAATATTTCGAAATATTCATTTCCTTATACGTTTGCATCTCTACTCGATAGTTTTCACTTTTGAGATGTAATTATGTCTGTATTCATATAATTTGTTGTGAAAATCTGTTAAATTCAATTCGGTATTTATTACTCGTTAATGAATTGAATTAGAAACATGCGGATTCGTTTTTTGAAGTCATTCTGTTTGAAATGACCCATCCAGCACTGAGGAGGAGTAGATAATTCGAAACCGGTCTCGAGACAAACTATTAGAGGCAGCCGTTCTATTAAATGAAACTTTTCTTGCAAATGTATCATTAATTTTTTTTTAATGTATGCTACTCACTTGCTACTGCAATGCTTGATCATTTTCAAACTCTCACTATAACTACACCACTTATTACTGATTACTGAAGACCCTACATAGACTTTACAAATATCTGTTTTGTTTCTTTTCCATTCATGCATGAACAATTAAGATTATACATTTCTTTTTCAGATTTTGGGACTAAAGAAAGACTACATACAGAAGAAAAACCCATTCAGTGTAACTTTTGCTCCAGATCATTCACTCACTTTAGGTTCTTGAAGAACCACGAAAGAAATCATAAGACAGAAGCATCACATAATTCTACAATTGATTTAGAAAAGAAAAGTTATGAATGTGAAACCTGTTTAAAAACATTTTCTGATAGTTCTGCTTTGGAAGTGCACTCCATAATTCACACAGATCAGAAATCCTATAAGTGCGAAATCTGTTCGAAATTGTTTTGTGATAGGTCTGCCTTGGATGTTCATTTGAGGATTCACTCGAGGAAAAAAACTAATAGATGTGAAATATGTTTTAAAACATTTTGCGATAGTTATAGCCTAGCAAGGCACTTCAAAATTCACACAGGAGAAAAACCTCATAAATGTGAAGTTTGTTCAAAACTTTTTTCTGATGTTTCCAACTTACAGAGGCATTTGAAAATTCACGCAAGAGATCCATCATATCCATCATACAAATGCAAAATTTGTTCAAAAGTGTTTCTTGGTGGTTCTGACTTACAGAGGCATTTAAAAATTCATGCAAGAGATCCGTCATACAAATGCAAAATCTGTTCAAATGTGTTTCTTGATGATTCCGACTTGCAGACACATTTAAAAATTCACGCCAAAGATACATCATATAAATGCAAAATATGCTCAAAATCATTTTCTGATCGTTATGGCTTAGCAAGGCATTTCAAAATTCACTCAGGGGAAAAATTTCGTGAATGTGAAATCTGTTCAAAACTTTTTTCTGATGTTTCCAACTTCAAGAGGCATTTGAGAATTCACACAGGAGATAAACGATACAAATGCAAAATCTGTTCAAAATCTTTTTCCGATAGATCTTCCTTCATTGTGCATTTGAGAACTCACACAGGTGAAAAACTATTTGAATGCAAAGTCTGTTCACAATCCTTCTCGCATAAAGATGTTTTGACAAGGCACTCCAAAATTCACACAAGATTAAAATCATAGAAATTGAAATATATTTAAAATCTTCATGAGATAAGTTACATACACCTTGCTAGGTAGAATTGGACTTGTACGGATAGAGTGAAAATAATACTTCACAATATACACAACACTAACATTTAACGTTAACAGCTGGTTCGACAGATAGCTAGTTATAAACTCGCTCAGAAGACGACACTCCATCAATTGAAATGAATTCACACATATTAGAAGCCGAAACAGTAGAACAGAATTGGACTTCGTTGAATTTCACTTTCATTTATTTACATTGTGGATGTGAGAACAATTTTATTGAAAATTAATTAAATGTTGAAATTTTTTTTTTTATAATTTCAATGATTTGAACATTTTATTCATTTTTATTATATTTATTCTTTCAGAGATTTCAAAATTTTCCACACCATTTTACATGTGTAACATTGTCAACCACTTCAAAACAATTGTGAATTTGTCATCATACGTATTGTAGTAAATCCGGCACGGTTTTACTATTATTATTATTTATACGTATCCCGCTGAAATATCTACGGTTTTATAGCTGAGTCACCAATAAAATAATACGTCACTACCTATCAAGTTTTGGTACCCCTTTCGCTATTTCCGTGTTTGTTTTATTTAAAAAACAAATCTCCTTCGCCGGAAATTATTACTATAATATACGATAGTGATGAAATACTCTAACTTGGCCGATGATTTCTGACCGCTAAAAATCTATAAGGCAATTATTAGGTCCACTCTGTATACCAATTTATTATAGCTAATACCTTCCCAAAATCATAAAATGGTTAGTACACATGTATATTTAACTTACCGCTGTCTTCTTCCTGCTCGTCCCCTATTTAAAACTTTTGCACTACACTGCTCGATTTTCGCTTCAGAATAAAAGACTACCCAAAAGCGCCTGTTTTCAAGAATAAAAAAATTCCACCTAGGAAAACTATCTCCCAAAATAAAATATACCGCCTTTGATTGATCGTCAAGAGAACCCTTCAAACTGCCAAGTTTTCGAACTTCCTCAAAATTCACGCAGACTTACTTTCCAAACAAAAACTTTCGCACCACTCTAAAACCACTACCTTAAGCGAAGAGCTCCCAGAACCCTCTGTCTTTTCTCCTTTCAAAATCCCATGAAACAAAATCACGAGTGCATCAGTATTTAATAAATGATTTGTGAATTTTTGTTGAATTATTATTTGTGTAATTTAATATCTTACACAAATTTGTGTAACTATGGCAAATGAAGAGTCGGATGTGACCAAAGCTGCAATACTCAGCGATTCAAAAAGTGCTTTGTCTTTGTCTAATTGTTGAACTATTATCAAGTAAATTGACATATTTTGTCACAAGCCTTTAAATATACAATAATAAAGTTAGGTGTCTGAAATAACAAATGTTACCTGAATTATCAATACCAATACTAGAACAATCACTATTTAACTTGTATAATTTAAAGACCACGGTGGCTGATATTGTATGACTCAATAAAGACCAAAATTCGTATTTTTCGTACCACCATCTGCACCTCAACGGGTCGCTTTCAACCGATTTCATTTAATTATTCCATTTTCCATTGTTTATGTCCCCAAATTACTAATGCTATAACCCCATCCATGACATCCTTGGTCATAAAACTTCAATTGACTGTGTCTTAAACTTAACTACATGATCTATGCTTCAATGTGTAGTTTTCAAGTACTGAGTGACTAGTGGTTAGTTTTCCGAATTGATAATAATATTATAGACTGGAATTCTCTTTTTTCCCATGTTGGAAAGTACTGTTTTTTCCAAAACTTCACTAAAACCTCTTTTGACTCCTGTACAAACAGTGAACCTTTTGGCCGGATAGCCAAATAGGCCATACATGAAGAAGATAAAAAAGAAGACTAAAGACTAACTTCAAGGCATAGAAAGTTTTACTTTTTGTTTTGACTTAGTTTAGCTCAAGCATAGATAAAATATATGTTATCTCTACGAGCTTAAGCTTACTGTTTGACAGTAAAAGCTGATAATAATTTCAATTTTCATTTTTGAATTCTCAAAAAAATTGGTAGGTAAAATCGAAAAAGACGAAGATTTTACAGGTTATAATAACACTATTCTTGGGATCAATAAATGTTGATAGAGATTTATTATGGAATTGGCTGATACTCGATGAGGAAAAATGACCATTTATTCAAAAATCTACTACCATTTTCCTGTATTCTTTTGACAAAAGTTCTCTCCGTTTGACCAATCTAAAGTTTGGATTGAAGACCCACATTTCCCGTATATACTCCTGATCTATCTGACATTGAAATTTTGATTTTATTGTCTTTGATAAATTTTCTCAAATTATCCATTCTATGAGCTATGCCCAAGTCTTTTTTTTTAATAAGCAATTTCTTGGGTTTATTAAATGGTGAAGTGAAAGACATGAAATAGAACCTTCAGCATATATAATAAATCGGAAAAGAACTTTTTCAACAAGTGTTTCACCAACTAAGTTGACATCATCAGGAGATGAGGTCTGATGTTTGGAAGTTGTGCCTGTAGTAGGCTTACGATCATTGATGAGTTGTTTTTGCTGTTATCTCAGAAGAATTGAGCATACATAGTAATTATTGTTGATATCATATTATTGGATGCTGCTAATAATTTATGCTGATATGGATGTGTTGAAAATTTTTGTACGACAATGTCCGTGTAAGATAGTTTGTGGAAAATTGCGAAATCATGTGTGATTAATTTTAGGATAAGTCAAAACGAGAACGTTATAGAGAAATCACTGACCTTGATTTTTTTCAATCAACGTTCAATAATGGATATTAATCGTGAGCTGATTGAGAGGAATGATGATTTCGGTCACGAAAATATTGATATCAAAATAGAAATAGTAAAAGAAGAGATGAGGGAAGACTCCATTATCAAATGTGAAGCCTGTAAGGAGTTTATAAGTGGAACGATCTGCGTACATAACATGAAATGTAAGTAAAATGATTCAGTCAAAAGAATCTTTTTTTGAGATGCATGTCTATACTAATTATGAGAATGGATTATTGCTTAAGAACAGTTGCAGGTTCTAATGAGGACATAAATGAAATATTGGATGACCAGACTATCACAGCTCAGGAACTTGAAGATTCCAAAATCAAGTACACTGATTTAAAATTCACACCAGACCAGGAAAGTTGTCTTGATAGCAAACAGTTCTCGTCAGTTGATACGGACTTTGTCAAAAGTGAAATCAAGAGGGAAATAGAGCAAGGCAACTCAGAGAATGAAGACGATGTTTCTTATGAAAATTTCAGTGAAAAGATGACCAAAATAGAGGTTGAACAGGATTCCTTTGGAGAATCACAGAAAAGTAAGTGCAGTCTCTCAGTTCTCACTAATTGACAAGTTCAGTATGCATGGTCTAAATGTGAGCTGTGCTAGTTCTGCAGCAAGTGCACTTGGATCTCTTCAGGGCTGATAGCGCCAAAAGATTGATCCAACAGTATGAACTGAGCACTTGTTTGAGTTGGACTTACTTTAATTTAGGTTAGGTACGAAACAAGAATTGTTTTTTAGTGATTCATTTGTAAAGTTGATTAACGTTCACTGTCAAACTCTGAAAACCTGATTTGGTTCGCTTTAAAAAAGGCTCAAATAAGTGTTTTGCTGTTTCTCAACATTTTCTAAACAGAGACAGCACACTGTCTTCCGACGGTCAAATTCTCTGCATATGGTGATTTACAGAAGAAAGTGAACTACAAGTGAGCCTGTTGGACAATGTAGTCTGATACTTGTTTAGTAACATGCTTCGAAGAGTGTATAAATATTTTGGATTGGATCATTGCTACAGCTTCGTTATGTAGTGTAGCTAGAAATCAAAATCAGTTAAGACTTTTTATTGAGGAAAGTTTTCTTTGGCGGTTCGCTATGAACTTAGATGTTGCTCTTTGAGATCCACTTGGCTGTCTGAGATTATTTTTATTGCCTTTTATATGAGGTTAGTTCCTGCCAATCTCACAAGACACAAATCGATAGCGTATATTTCAGCTTGAAATATGATCGCTCAGATTCCTAGGTAGGTTGATATCTCTGTTCTGGAGAATCAAGTCAGAGGTTATTCCTACAATGCTTGGAATGTTCATTTTGTGTGATTATCATTATATACAATATAGTCCATATAGTCTCCATCCTCCAGGAAGGTGTGGAGAAGAGGTGTTATATACGTAAAGAGTTTATTTTGAACTTAATTGCTTTCTTTCTTCCTCAGGAAGGTTCCCACATTTTATGTTTAAAGATTGAGAAATAGAAAGTCGAGAAGCTTTTCACCAATCTATATATATTTCTATTCTATTCATACGTATAAAATGATTTTTTTTTCAGATTTTGCGACTGATGAAAGATTATATACAGATGAAAGACCCATTCAGTGTAATTTCTGCTTCAAATATTTTACTCATTTTAGTTACTTAAAGAACCACGAGAGACTCCATATGACAGAAACATCACATAGTTCTACAGTTGATTCTGAAAGAAAAAAGTATGAATGTGAATTGTGTTCAAAATCTTTTTTACGCAATTCTGCCTTGAAAAGGCATTCTAGAATTCATACAGGTGAAAAATCATACAAATGTGAAATCTGTTCAAAATCTTTCTTAGAAAGTTCTACCTTGAAGAAGCATTCTAGAATTCATACAGGAGAAAAACCATATGAATGTGATATTTGTTCAAAATCTTTTTTTGAAAGTTTTGACCTAAAAATGCATTCTAGAATTCACACAGGAGAAAAGTCGTATAAATGTGAAATATGTTTAAAATCATTTCTTAATAGCTCCAAGCTACGAAATCATTCTAAAATTCACACAGGGGAAAAAACATATAAATGTATGATCTGTTTAAAATCTTTTTCTCATAGATTTGCCCTAGCGAGGCATTCCAATATTCATACAGGAGAAAAACTTCATAAATGTGAGATTTGTTCAAAATCTTTTCATGATGCTTCCAACTTGCAGAGGCATTTGAAAATTCACACAGGGGATAAACCATATAAATGTGAAATCTGTTCAAAATCGTATCCCAATAGTTCTGAGTTGCAAAAGCACAAAATCCACACGGGGGAAAAACCATATAAATGTGAAATCTGTTCAAAATCTTTTTCCTGTAATTCTCACCTGAAGACTCATTCTAGAATTCACACCGGGGAAAAACCATATAAATGTGAAATTTGTTTTAAATCTTTTTCCTGTAATTCCAACTTGAAGATGCATTTAGAGTCCACTCGGGGGAGAAACAATAAATGTTTAATCCATTCAAAATATCTGTTTGAGCTCCTGGAAAATAAGTCCATTAAATTGAATAAAGAAATTAGTTTCATGGAATCATTTTCCAACAGCTTGTCTACTCTTTATGGATATTCACATTGAGAAGAGAATGACGTCACAAGATGACGAGTTACAGCGTTGCCATCATGTGCACTATTTCGAACTTCAAATATGTTTGTACTGTTGATTCGTTTTATTGCTATTAACCTTACTTACTATTAATTTACTTAGTTGAAATACAACTTTATTGAGACTGTTTCGATAATGCTTTAAGCATATTGAATATACGCAGGTCTTATCAAAAGAAGTGGTTAGTTTTGGAAAGAAAAGGAAGACTGACAGTTTTCGAGTTTTTTTCGATTCGGCAACGTCTGAAATTTTACTATCACTTGGGCAACTTACAAAATGAAATTTTACTAGTTTCATTGCTATTGAACGCATTTCGTTGTGAATTTCGAAGTTGTTATGTTGGATATACAAAATTACCAAAAATGACGTCATTCTCTTCTTAACGTGAATATCCTATATTACTGTCCTGCACTGCTAGCACAAATTGGCTTACGTGTTCCTTCTAGAAGTACAAGGCATACAGAAACATTTGCTATAGATTTTCATCGTTGTAACTATGGCAAATACTCGCCATTGTCTAGAGTTACTATTGGTTACTATTGTTATTAAACAAAACAAAATTTAGGTTTGTCACTCTAATTTTTTATCTATGACTTAGTTTTACTTTAAGCACCAGGTCCATGCTGAAAATATTCAAGTAGATCACCTGCAGACCGCTGTTTCGAGGTATTACCTCTCGTCAGTAAAGGAAAGATCCTACCCAGACAGACACCAGTTGGTTGGGAGAGATTAATATTTCGAAATATTCATTTCCTTATACGTTTGCATCTCTACTCGATAGTTTTCACTTTTGAGATGTAATTGTGTCTGTATTCATATAATTTGTTGTGAAAATCTGTTGAATTTAATTCGGTATTTATTACTCGTTAATGAATTGAATTAGAAACCTGCGGATTCGTTTTTTAAAGTCATTCTGTTTGAAATGACCCATCCAGCACTGAGGAGGAGTAGATACTTCGAAACCGGTCTCGAGACAAACTATTACAGGCAGCCGTTCTATTGAATGAAACTTTTCTTGCAAATGTATCATTAATTTTTTTTTAATGTATGCTACTCACTTGCTACTGCAATGCTTGATCATTTTCAAACTCTCACTGTGCATTTTATTCTTATAACTCTATATATTTATATGTATATAGTTTGTGAACTGTAAATTTGAATCATCTCTTTTATATTGTTTTATACAACTAAAAGATCAATAAATTATCCATCTATCACACATAACGAATGTTTTGAGTACAAGCTCAGAGGGATAAAGTTATTTCAGTGTAATTGAATGTTCATATGAAAGTAGTTATTTGTAGAGGGTAATTTTATTCTATCAGTTTGTATCTGAAAGATATTTTGTGCATGATCTACATATCTTCATGAAGAATTTTTATTGTTTTTTTTTATACTCTTTCTTTGGGAGTTTTCCACATTTATTTAATGTTCAAGAAGTAGTTAAAAATCTTTTCTGTTGCTGAAGCTAAGAAACCTAGTATCATTTCATGACTAACAACTTGTCAAAATGTCTGTTAACAATAAGGAGTAAGTCAAATTTGAATAGTTGGAAGAAAATAAAGTTTAGATAAATTTTACTCAATGTTTCTCATTTAATCACTCTGTTGAAAAAGTTCAAGGTTTATGTTTCGTGCTGTGGAGCATAATTCTCGGGTCATGGGAATTTGTATCCCTTAGAAACTGACGTCTTTTTCAACTATCCGCATGATCAATATATACCTCAAAACAGGCGTCATTTTCTATTGTAAAATGATTCCCATAATTCCAGAATTGTACCTCTTCATTATTTATATTCCATGTCACCATAATTTGTGTTTTCGAAAATGAAGTGTTTCTATATTTACTTTTAAATTCTATATTCATTGTTCATTTTTTTGTCTAATTGCCCAAATATCAATTTCTTTTTAAACCCATTCTCCCTCAGGACAGGGCATTCGACTGTGTGGATCATAATATTTTGATGAAGATATACCATGCTGTAAAAGACAATGCTCTGTTATGGATTACAAGCTTTTTACAAAATCGAAAACAATGTGTATGTTTGAGAAATGAACAATGGAATGAGTAAGAGTGTTACAGATTCTACATCAAGCTGGGCTTGATACTTGACGTCATTTTTACATATATTCCACGTTACATATTTCCATGTTACGTGGAAATATGCAACACGTAAAACATCGTGGCGTATCTAGAGTTAAGTATAAGAATGACGGAAATGCCAGAACGCGAATCTCTATATCTCTTTTTATTTGTTGGAGCCAATTTTCTCTCTTATATAGCCTTTCCATAATTATCATTACGTCACTGGCAGATAATGATGAATATGTTCCGTAAATCAACTTGGTTACTTGGGTTGGTTATTTCGTGTCCCGTAAATGTCATATTCCTGAAAAACTAGTAAATTTTTCCTGAAGTTTGGTCAACATTAAAAAACCCTTATTCAAGAAAAAATATTAATTGCACCTTAAAAATACTTAAAAAAGGTGAGGTGTTTATTTGAGTAGATGTAGATCCTTCTTTTGAATATTACTGATGGGTTTTCAAAAATATTAAACATAAAACTGCTTATTTGAGTTGTTAACTAATATCACTTGTATGAATTTTAACCAGCCGAACATGACCGATCACATCGTGGGAACTCCCGAATGCAGTTTGGGTTTCGGTCGTATTAGTTTCGACAGGTTTGCCGCCGAAACCGAAACCCGTTTTTTTGCCAAAACTCGACCGAAACCAAACTTTCGGTCGAACACTAATTGTCAAAAATCACTGCCAATGATATGATTGCAAATCTTCATTGTTTTTTAAATTCAGAAAATGTCAACATTGACTTTTCAATAAAAAACATATATTCTGATGACATACCCGAGATCCCTCCAGATCCGAAAAATAATTTTGAATTGCCACACTGGGACCCTGTCCATCCTGAAGTTTTCTCAAAATTTTACGTCTGTGTAAAAATCCATTACTTCCTCCATAAAATTTCAGACTCTAGGTCAGGGCACTGTAAAACATCATTGTAATATTCTCCAAATTGAAATGAATTTAATGATACTCAAAACATTACTCATAATACCTCGAACTTGCAACCCATCTTCCTCTTCGCTACTTAAAACATAAATTAAACTTGCCACTCCTACAAGCCTTTACAAGAGATAATGAAAAATCTATTGAATTATTCAATTTAGAATTCATTTTTAGTATTTCAATAGTATTCAATAATGGATCTTGATCAGGGTGAGAAGTTGTTCAAGGGGAAAGATGAGTTTCTTCATGAAAATATTGGTATCAAAATAGAAACACTAAAAGAAGAGATGAGGAAAGACTCACAAATCAAATGTGAATCTTGTAGGGAGTCTATAAGTGGAACAATCTGCATTCATAATATGAAATGTACGTATAATTATTCAGAAAAAGTATTTCATATTTTGAGATGTCTCTCAAGAGGAATTATAAGAATGGATGATGGCTTACGAATAGTTGCAGGTTCTGATGGGGATGTAAACTCTGAAATGATGGATAATCAGTTTATTACAGCCCAGGAACTGGAAGATTCGAAAATCAAGTGTAGTGATTTAAAATTCGAATTAAAACAGGAAAGTTCTCTTGATAGTAACCAGTTTTTGTCAATTAACAGGAACACTGTCGAAAGTGGAACAGAGCAAGGTAAATCAGAGGATGAGGATATTTTTTACGAAAATTTCAGTGAAAAAGTGACCAATTCAAAGGTTGTTTTCATGTCTAATATATTAGAGCTGGATAATGTTGAGTTGAGTTGATCAGCACTTATTTGATTATTCTTTAAAACCAAAGGCTTCATGTCAGGTATCTAGCAGGCCATTCTAAGGGACCACGTTTGACTATACACTGGTTTGAATCATTATCATTCAGCCACTTTTGAACTAGAGATCTCATCTTGCTGAAGCGTAATATTAGTTGAACACAACACAGCTGGAGCTGTCAATTATCCAAAACCTTAGAAGAGCCCACTAGACCACCTCATTGACGCTTGTAGATGTCTTTGAGGAGATATGTGAAGTGTGTTCGTTCTTTTGCAGATTTTGTAAATCACACTATTGTCTGAAAATGATATCGTTTTATTTAAATTTCGTCTGGCTTTGATATCTTGACCCCTTCAAATGTCAAGAGAGGGGGACTATTTATGTCTGCATTGTATGTAAACATATGAAATAACATTTATGCCCAGATACAATCAAAATACGAACACAGATCTATTTGAACTTGGTAATAGAAAGATATATATTTTACTATGCTATAAAATTTACTTACTGTGAATTATGAAATGCAAACAGTTTATCAGTTGTGAAAACAAAAGAATTGAAATTGTAGAATTTTCTCCTTAAACAAGATGTAAAAATATCTGTCAAATGGTATTAATATCTCATCAATCTAAGTATTTGTTGAACTCTCTCCTAAGCACTGTCATCAAGATGAAATGTAAACTATTACGGTTCTGACTTTTTTTCCCACTCGTAGAATGGGTTTCATTTGTGTATTTTATTCAGGCATTTGTATTCCTCTACTAAGTATATTTATGTATCATTTTCCATATTTCCTAGACCCCTCATGTACCTTCTCAATTATCAAAGTAGAAGGTAAGCCCTTTCACGGTAACAACGACACTGAAATTAAAATAGAAGTAGTGAAAGAAGAGCCTATAGAAGATATCGCAGGAGAATGTTCACTGAAAAAGGGTGAGATTAAATGAAAAGTATTCAACATTTCGATTGATTTGAATAATGTTTCGATGAAAAGTTCTTAAACTTTTTCAGACTGCAGGAAAAATTTAAAAGGTTGTTCACCTGCTGCTTCAAGTAAATTAACAGATGACAATTCCTTTGATGTTCTTGGGTTTTCAACAAAAAATGCATATTACTCCGATTGTGAAACGGGACAAGTCAAAATAGAGTGTAATAATGATATTTTTCATGAAAATATCGTAATCAAAAAAG